ACTTTGAACTATTCAAGAACTTGTGGTTTAGGGAGAATGATTGGAGGAGGTGGAGGAAGTGAAGTATGATTTTCATGATCCAACCAAAGGACATCATCTTCATTGGGAAAACTTGTTCCAAAAGAATGAGGAAGACCATAGTTGTCTGAACTTAGACATCTATGAGGGAGAAATTCAAATTTCAGTTGATTTAAGTCCTTAACATAACACCCAATATGAAATATTAAGGATATGACCCAACAAACTATTTTATAACTTGGAAGAGGGATTCCATAATTCAAGCTACAAAATATTTGAAGGTAGGTAAATGACGATTTACCAATTTTCACCATGAAAAACAAAATAAATTATTAAGTTTTAATTGGATTGAAACTCCTAGATCTTTTGAGATTCATTGAACTTTCAATGGCATGTTTAAATCTCGATTGTGTCCTCTCAAGTTTGTGACTAGGATGTCGAGGATCACAAACAAGGTGTGAATAACCATGCAAATTGACTTGGTACCCTTAATTTTATCACCCAATCGATGTGCCAGTTAACCACACACGCTCCACCGATCTATGATAAAACTTAAGTCATCCTTTGCTACACATTGTCAGTCTCATGTTAATGTGCCGGTTAACCACACACGCTCCACCAACGACTTAACAAGGGTGCAAAGTGTAATTTCATGGGTTAGCACCATTTCACATTTTCCTAAGTAACTAAGATTGGGAATTTATTAGTGTTTAGTTACTTAGTATTTATCATTATACTTTTAATGAAAGGGGAATTGTAGTCCTTTCCTAACCGTTCGGCTAACGACCCTCCACCAGTCAAGGAAGTGGTGGGTGAGAGTGGACGCCCATTAAACTGTCATTTTATAGGCAGTAACTTTATACCCCCCCCCCCCTCTTAGAGACTAACTTCATGAATGAGACCTACTAATGGTAAGATTAACTTTACTCTTATATATATATATATATATATATATATATATATATATATATATATATATATATATATATATATATATATATATATATATATATATGTATGTATAATCATTAAGTTTTAATATTATAATAGTATAAGGGTGTATTTTAATCATTTAAAATACTTGGTGATTTAATTTATTAATTAAACTATACTCATAATTTAATTAAACTAAAACCACGTCTTTATGGAATTATTAACTCTTTTAATTAAACACTTTAATTAATTTAATGAAATCCATAAATTTCGAATTTTAAAATTTAAAATTCTAGGGTTTAGAATTAAAGTGTACATGGGGGTGACTTTACAAATTCCAAAACTTGAGGGCAAGTTTTGAAACTTTTTAAAACTCTTGGATTTTCATAACTTATGAGTTTAATTATGGTTTAATGAAAAACTTTTCAAGTTCCATAACTTAAGAACATGTTATGGAAGACATAAAATCATTTTATGATGATATTAAAATAGATTCTCTTCCATTTTCATAACCTATGGAAATCTTATGAGTTTTTAAGAGTCATAAATGTGGATTTTCATATAACTTGAGGACAAGTTACAAAAACACATTTTATGAATAACTTTTAGATCAATGTGGATTAAGAACACATTATCACATAAATTATCAATTAATCTAAGCAAACTCATAAGAACAAGATAATTCAAATCAAACAACTTTCATGTAATTAGCCTAATCACTAAACTAATATGAAACCCAAATCTATTGACAATTATCTTTTGAATTGGATTAGAATGAACATTACCACATCAAAAACAAGTTTATAGGTTCAAAAACAGCTTAGGGTAATGATTCTAGTCCAATTTCAGCCTTAAAAGTCAAAAATATGTTATTAGGGGCTCTTACTCGTTGAGTGTATGAACCTACTCGATGAGTAGGATGATTTTCTTCATGGACTCGCCGAGTCCATTAGTGGACTTGGCGACTCCAGTGCCCAGACAGCCAAAAAATCGATTTTTTTTTCAGCTTTTTCAGTAATTTGCATCAAGTATAATTGAAAACAAGCCTAGGCTCTGATACCATTGTTGGGTTTTAGTATACTACAACATCCTATGGTGCAAATACAACCCTAGATACCTTGGATCTATGTTTTCACTAATTATACATGCAAATGGTTTTGAAGGTATTAATCTTACAACTAACATGCATCTTATATAAACCATATAAA